TCTCATGCTCTCTCGCTGTCTCTCTCTCTGTCAAATAAATAAATAAAATCTTTAAAAAAAAAAGAAAGAGCACCGTAAGTCCTTTAAGCGGGATGGAATTACCCAGGGAAACTGTGTGGGATGAAGACAAAAGAGAACCAATGCCTGATTCCTAGACAACCTCAATGTTTAAGGAAGGAGATTCCCTAAAGAGCCTGGCCAGAGAATCAGGGAAAGAAAGGACCAGGAAAGCAAGAAAAACAGCGACTCCAATCACTCTGAGAAGGAGAGGAGAGTGGAGAATTTGGTGACTGGCATCTGCTAAGACACAACAGTTTCAGGACGTGGTGAGGGAAGGAGGCACCACGGAAGGCTGTTGGATGAGTGGGTAAGAGGAAGCACAAACAGGGAGCCAACACTAGAGAAGGCTGGCTGAGGAGGGAAGCAGAATGTAAGATCAAAGGGAAGAGCAGACTAGAGGATGAACACATGGGTGGACCAGCTAGACAGAGAAAGGGAAGCAGTTGGTGAGAAAAAAACAACACAGAGCCTATCCCCACATTCCAGGAATGAAAAGATTCTTCTGGAAAGATTCTTCTTTAGTCACAGTCCCAAGACATGAACACACAATCACCAGGACTCGGTTTCAAGCCCCCCCCAACTGATCAGTGACGACTTGCTTCTGAGAGTCAGCAAATGGCCTCAGACCAGGCCCGTGACCATGTTTCTATGGCTAACGCTGCACCAGTCCCTGAAGGTCCACCCTGCCCTGGATTCCACATTCACCCAAAACAGAGAAGTTAAAATTGAAAAGTACTCAGGCAAGGCCTGGAGGACACAGTGGCAGATGACAAAGAGCAGAAATGAGGCCATGGGTCTTAGATAAGAGGGAGTCCATGGATCCCCTGTGAACTGAGAAAAGGGTGGAAGTTGATAACATCGGCGGCAGCAGCAGGTGACCTGCCTTCAGGTCACATACACAAAACTCTGTGATGTGGAGAGGCTACGTGATCTGTGTAGGAGAGGCCAGGACTCACACAGAGCCCGTGCTCGCGCATGCAACCTTACGCGGCTGCTCACTCCACTGCATCCTATCTTTACACTCTGACAGCAGCTGCAGCATCTTGCCATGTGACACTTTCCACACTCGGGCTCTCATCAGTGTGGTTCATGTATACCCACCTGACTCATTCCAGAACTGAAGCTCTACAGGCTTTTACATGGGAAGTGCTCAGTGAAGAAATGAATCCAGCTGCAACTGCCAAACTTGTTACACGCCAACTTGCTTTCAAAAGGGCTTATAATTCTCTTTAAGTGATTTAAGCCACCCCTACCACAGCCTTCTTTATGGTGGTCATGGGCTCAGCACTCCTTTGCCATAGATACCACGAAGGCCGAGCAGTATCGTACACCTCATTTACCTCAAGGTCCAAATTAGTGGAGTTAGTCTCCACTGAAAAGATTTCGCTATGTCTGCAGGTTGAGACCAAAAAGTACTTCTTACCTGAATTTTGATGGGCCAGGTAAAATTACTGACATAAACGAAGAAAGTGATATTTGGGTGGTTGCGAAAATCAAACTTCTCATTAGAGAAGCTATCTTTGTACTCCTTAATGTTGGTTTTTGAAACAACAGGCATCTCTTCTCCAGCCTGGGTTCCAGCTGTCAGGAAGAAAAGAATGAAATACAAGGGTCTTTTTTGGGGGGACAGAATCTGCCTTCATTAATAATGACAACAGTTAGCATTTACTGAACACTTACTACGTTCCAGGAAAAGCCTGTAAGAGCACAAGCTCATTTAATTCTAACAACAATTCTTACTATTCTCATTTACAGATCAGGAAACTGAGGTTTGGAGAAATTAAGTAACTTGGTTCAGGTCACACAGCCAGCAAGAAGCAGAGCTGAGATTTGCAGTGGGAAGGCTGATGATACACAAGGCTGTGCCCTTAACCAGAATAGTTCTGCCAGGAGTCTCTGCGGCTCCTCTCCACTTAAACAGCCGACACCTAGCTGTGAAAATACAGATACCAGTAGAATCCTACTAACAAGCAAGGACTTTCATTCTGCACGTAGCACTTCCAGCTGCTTTGCATATCCCTTTTAGACCTGTTTGTCAGTGCTCCTGATCCCCAAACCAGGGACACTGATCGACCTCTCACTTCCTAATTAGCAGTGACCTCATGTCTCAACAGCAGCAGGGAAGGAGTCACCCAGTCCCTTCTGCTATCAGCTACAACTGTATTTAAATCCCCCCAATCTGGTATAAATTCATGCTACTCCCAAACAGTCCTTCAACATTCCATTTTCTCCCTCAGCCTGGAATTCTGGTGTCTACAAAGATTCGTAAAATAGATTTTTAGCATGTCTGCATTAAATACTGTGACTGGAGCCCAGACTGCTGGGTCCTCATTGAGACAATCATTGAAAAGCATTCACATGCTCAGAGATGTTGCCCTTCTCCCAATGTTCTGACAATTCAGACTTTTTTCTTAAAAGTGTCTCCTCACTGCAAGTTTCAGAACCTTTTCTGAATTCCACACAATCTTAAAAGATGATAAACATAAGATGTGCAAAGGTAATGCTTAATTTTGTTTCAGTCTAACTGGTTGTGTTTTGACCAAAAATCAATACTGGAAGAGAATCGATAAGGAAGCACGGTTACCATCCAGTGAGAAACTGCTGGGTTTCAAGCACTACGGACTATTTGTTTATTGTCTCATTTCAGTCTCACTATGCTGTGCACGGCTAGGTGTTTCTACCATCCCTTGTATCCACGAGCAAACCGGCTCAGAAAGTTTAATCTGCCCAACCGCACAGTTCAGCACGGTTGGTAATGGGCAGAGTTCAAACCCACGTCTGTCGGGTCTGTCGAGCTACGTTTGTAAGTGCTACATCAGGCCCGCCTGTCACTTCCTCAGTACATCTTCTGCCCAGATGGTCTTCAGTGAATCGTAGAAAGATAGACAAGAGAGCAAACACTATGCTCTTAGAGCTCGATTCAATTCCCAAATTACACCTCCCTGTACCTACCAAGATCTCATTCTAAATATTTCCATTTCTCACTTCTGAGGCCTGGATGGGGCCGACGGTGGGAGCGCCAGAGCAGGGCTGCAGCTAGTGTCATGGGCAGCAAGGTTGGGGGGGGTGAGCGTGCACTGAGCCTGACACGACCGGAGGCGCATGCCTGTACGACCTGATTCAATCGACACAACAATTCTAGGAGGTAAGTATTGCTGTCTTCTCTTTGTGACAAATAACGCTAAGGTCTAGAGACGGGTTTTGACACTTGTTCAAGGTCTCCCAGGTCGTAAGTGGCAAAAGTAGGTTTCAAACCCATCTGTCTGTCTCCAGAGCCCTCTCTCTCAACTACACGTATTTCTCAATCTACTACCAATCTACTCCACTTGGAAGGTCTTCTTCTAGGTATGTCTTTACCTGAGAAGCTGGCGGCCCAGGTGATGTTGAGGTTGAAGTTTTTGGAGGCATTGATGAACATGTCCAAATCCCTGTTTTGCTGAAGAGCGGTGCAAATAGTTAGAAAATTAATTACAACAGTTTCCAGATTTTAAAATAAAGTAGCAATTAAATTTTACCACTCTCAATTTTCTTAACTACAAAACAGATATTTTACAATGTCTTAAAAGAAACTCACACTTAGTCAGTAACATTTCTAACCAATATAAGCAATATAACCCAAGTAAATTTCATTTCTCTCTCATAAATGTGTATGTAATTTAATGCTTTATCAAATGCCTAACTCCATGAGAAAGTACGTTTTAAAAAGCCCCTGACCAGAGCACAACAACTTTAATCCTATGACCCATGTTAGGGGAGTCAGCCTCCTAAGGATCCTCTGGGCAGCTGTTTTCAAATGTCTGGAGAGCCCATGCTGATAAGTAAACACTGAACCAAGACCTCAATTTATGTGTATTTATAAATTAAAGCTATGTACTTCTGAGCTGATAGATTACATATCCTATAAAGTTCTCCAAAGTGGAAATGGGCTCCCTGCTCAGCAGGGAGTCTGCTTCTCCCTCCGGCCCTCCCCCATCTCATGCTCATTCTCTCTCTGTCAAATAAATAAATAAAATACATTTTTTTTAAAAAGCTGAAATGAACTAACTTAAAAAATAATTTGACTGTATTCATTCAGGACTTAAAAAACATTTTTCTCTCACTAAAAATTTTATTTCAAGAGAAATATGATTGAATATTCTTTACTAGCTTTGAAAATCTTATTTACCACTTGGAGATACAACAATTCGAAGAGCTAGTGTAGTTTATTTTGATTCTTGGTTTTAATGACTGAGAAAGACCTCTCCAGGAAATGTGTTGAGCCGACAGGTAGAAGCGTAGCACTGCTGGTGACACCAGGGAAACTATAATACGGATTTTTAGTTTTCACTGAAACTTGACTAATAAATCTCTTTCTTGTGGTCAAAGAATTATTTGTGCAAATGAATCAGATGTTGTATTTTTATATTTTACGAATGGATCCAATCCTGCTGAAATTCTTTATCTTGAAAGGCCAGAAAACAAGTCAGAACAGTAAGATTTTTAAGGGGGTTGTTTTGATGGTATTTACAGCACAAAATCTTAACAGTGGAAACATTTCTAAATAGCCGTTTTCAAAATGTGATCTCCAAACCAGGAGTTTCTCTCCCAAAGCAGTCAGTTACCTTCTTGTTTACTGATATAACCTCACCCTCCTCTTGCAGGGACAGCTCAAGTGTTTATTTTTTTTTAATATTTGGTGGAAGAACACTACTGACAATTATTTCTTTCCATAGAAAGGATCAATAAACTTGATATCCTGGTGCTTTTATAAGAGACAGAACATACATCTTGGATAACTCTATTAAATACTCTGTTGTAAGATAAACAGGGAACTCCAGAGAAGTCAAAAGATTTTCATGGTCACTCACCACATTAAGAAGTACTAACAAGAGTCTATTATGTTTATTTAAAATAAAGTTAACAACATCAATTACATCCTGAAAGACTGAGTACTTCAACCAATGCTTATGAATAAGATATTAAATAAATTTCATGTGTGGTACTTTTGCTATAATCTTATCCTAATTTTTTTTTTTAATTCCAGTCAACACAGCCATTCAAATGATATGATATAGTCTGTCCACATAATATTTTCATTTAAGTTCATCTATTATTTTTACTTAAATTCACTCTCTAGTACATTTCTTCTTAATTTTATCATTAAAATGGAATATAAAAAACAAATCTTACTTTCATTTAATTGTAAACATCCCGCACTCTGGATTTTGTTCTTCTACTACTTTATTTATATTTTAGATTTAGCAAAGCTTGTTAACAGTAACATTTGTTAACAAAGGAGCACAACCTGGCTCACTGTCATATTATTTTCCATGTATTATTTGTCATGTTTATGGTGACAGGAATTTTGTAATGTTAAGTGGCTTTGTAATGTTAAGTGCATGTTGATGAGAAATAAGAAACCTTCAAGGAGGTTCCTAAATAATGTATCATCAAGTTTAGTAAAATTTCATTATGTACTGGAGTGGCCATTGAATGACTTTATATTTCATTGAAGAAACTGTACAGGTGTGTCTTCATGTTCTAGATGCTTCACTTTTAAATGTCATGCTATGTTGGCTCCCTTCTACCACCAGGTTGTACCTTATGTCAGGCTAGGATTCATCATTAATGAAAGTAGGTATAAATCCACATTTCAAATAGTCATCCTAATAATTCCAATTATTTCTGGTTAACTTCTTGTTGGACCTGACTACACCTTCGCAGTTGTTACCTCCTAACAAGGCTAACAACTTCCTGTAGGCACAGAAGTATCATCTCTGCAGCCTTCCTTGTATTGGTGGCATTAATTTCAAACCGCAGTTTCTTTGCAGGTACTTGTTAAGCCTCTGGTCTGTTTTGAGAGAGTAAATCTGGGCCCTGTCATATGCCCCTCTGACTGGGGAGGTCCCCTTGTAGTCCCCTCTCCTTTTCTGTAGGGGCTGTGATGGGCTGATGGGCAAACCAAGTATGTGTGGAGTCAGTGTCAGTCTGGGTGTCAGATCCTGGTAAATCTGAACAACACCATTCTTGCCTTTGAGATGGAGAGGAGATAAAGTGTAGCTTTTAACATTTCTTTCCAGCACCTCTAAACACAGTCCTGTGTACTCCGCTTTGGAGACCACTGCTAATGCTTCTACCCATAAAGATCAAGAAAAAGATCTACATGAATTCAAAACAAGCAAGAAAACTTTTAAAATCTTACTTCATCAGGCGTAGCCACAAAATTGATGGCTGTGTAATAGCGGTCATCTTCCTGGGATAGGCTGAAGGTGAACTGATAATCAATGAGAAGAGTATCTATGGAAAGAAAGAAATGTGTATTTAAAAATTAAAACAAAACCAAACAGAATAGATCTCGAAAGATACAGATTGATCTTCTTATAAATATTCAATAGGCAGGAAACACTTTTAGCTCACTTATACCTGGGGACTGGGAGGCTTTTCAAAGGAAGTCAAGTCTGTGGACAATATCATTTTACTTGGAATAACCTATCAAACTCTCCTTATTATCATGACCCTGGTTGAGATTTTAGGCTCCAACCTAAATCACCTACAAATATTAATTGTACCTCTATTACATGCTAGGTTTTGCTTAAGGATACAAAGCTATAAATTAAGGATATAAAAGGAACTAAGACTCTATGGAAAAATGGTTGATTCCAGGTCTGGAGCAAGGAATATGTGCCTTATCTTATTCACGAAAGCAAGAAAGCATTCAAAGACTAAGGTGATGTAGCAAAAGAAAACAGCTTTAAAGAGAGCCTACTGGACAAAGATGGTATAGTTTTTTTTTTTTTTGTACAAAAAGGTGGTTTTATTTAAGAACAGGGACAGGACCCGTGGGCAGAAAGAGCTGCCCAAAGATGGTATAATTTAATTCTAAAAAGTCTATTGTACAACTCAACAACCTGATTTAAAAATGGGACAGAGGAATTGAATAGATATTTCCCCCAAGAAGATATACAAATGGCCAGTAAGCACACAAGAAGATGCTCAACATCATTAATCATTAGGAAAATACAAATCAGTTAAACCACAATGAGATACCATCTCATGCACAGTAGGATGGCTACTATCAAAAAAACAGAAGGTAAGTGTTGGTGGCGATGTGGAGAAACTAGAAACCTTGTGCACTGCTAGTAGGAATGTGAAATGGTGCAGCTAATGTGGAAAACAGTATGGTAGTTTCTCAAAAAATTAAAAATAGAATTACCAAATGATCCAGCAATTCTACTTTGGAGTACATACCCAAAGAACTGAAAGCAGGATCTTGAAGAGATATTTGTTCACCATGTTCATAGCAGCTAAACATCATAGCGATTATTCACAATAGCCAAAAGATGGAAGCAACCCAAAGGTCCATCAACAGTATACATAAAGTGGAATATTAAAAAAGAAGGAAATTCTGACATACACTACAACCTGGAACAACCTTGAGGACACTATGCCAAATGAAATAAGCCAGTCACAAAAGACCAGTACTATATGATTGTACTTATATAAGGTGCCTAGAGTAGTCAACATTATAGAAACAAAAAAACAGAATGGTGACTGCCAGGGGCTAGGGGAAGAGGGAAATGGAGAGTTGTTGATAAGTTTATTTTTAACTGTTTAAGAAACTGCCAAATGGTTTGCCAAAAGGCCTACACCATTTTATATTCCCACAAAGATGGATGAAGGTTGTGCATAAAGGTTCTAGTTTCCCATATCATTGCTAAAACCTGGTATTTGATATTGGCTTTATTTTTTCAAGATAGATAGGTTACAATGTACCAGATTACAAAAAGTTCACTGATATGGTGGGGCCCCTGGTGCCTGGGTGGCTCAGTTGGTTAAGTCAGACTCAAAACCTGAGTCCAACTCTTGGTTTTGACTCATGATCTCAGCGTCATGAGACTGAACCCTCCCTCGGGCTCAGCAGTCAGTGGGGAGTCTGCTTGAGATTCTTTCCTTCTCCTTCTGCTCCCCCCGGCTATCTCTCTTTCTCTCTCTAAAATAAATAAATAAATCTTAAAAAAAAAAAAAAAAAAGAATTGTTTCTGGGGGCACCTGGTGGCTCAGTCGGTTGAGCGACCAACTCTTGATTTCAGCTCAGGTTGTAATCTCAGGATGGTGGGACTGAGTCCCACATCTGGCTCCACACTCAGCATGGAGTCTGTGGGAGATTCTTTCTCTCCCTCTGCCCCTCCCCCTGCTTGTGCTCTCTCTAAATAAATAAAATCTTTTAAAAAAAATTGTTTCTGACCTATATCCTAAATGTGAAATATGTTGACCCCAACCAGGTAATGGCAAATGAAATTAAGTTTCAAGAGAACATAAATGAGGAAAGCCAGAGGTGTATCTCTGTATTCTCTCCTGATATCTGCTATGGATATAGTAACATAAACCACAACCGTAATTAACACAGCTTAAAATGGTGTTCCTATATGTAGTAAGTGTAATAGAATGGAAACACTTCCATGAATGGTTGCTATATTCTTAATAGCACTTACCGTTCTCAAACCATATTAAAGCAAATAACAAAGTTTTACTGAACTACTTTGCTTCTAGACAAATATGAATTGCAAAAACACTTACAATAACATGTTCCTTTGAGAGGGTTTCCCTGGTATCGATTTTCTACCTCGCATCTAGGGGGATAAAATTGAAGATTATTTTCTATTGCTAGTTAAAACAAAATCTACATTCATCTTAAAACCAAGCAGATCCTTTTATATAAAACTACACCACAAACAAGTGTGAGTCAACGTAATCACATTCTTCACTGTCACTCAGATCAGGTAGGCTGAGGAGAGTCTGCGTTCATGTTGACTACTGCCCACCCAGCAGTTCACACCACCCGCCAACTGATAAACATTTGCCAAAGTGCAGGAGACAAATCCAAATGTAATAAATCTAGATCCTACTTATTTTCATGAAAAACACATTTCCACTTCTGTGTGGACTAAATATTCCTCTAAAAGTGAAGTTAAAACATTTTTCAAATATTCATTTCTCACTTCCTTCCTATTCTCCCTGGATAAAACTGATCCTGCTCTTTAAAAATAAGAAAAGGCTAAACACCAAGAATCACTTTTTTTTTTTTTTTTAATTCCTTGAACATGGTTCACCAGTCTGGAGAAAAAAATAAGTTCTAGTAAAAAAGAATCATTACTTTCCCGCACAAATATCATCTGTGAACATCAGCAAAACCCAGTCTCCCACTTCACAAGGCCATTTATACTGGTAGGGCCAGCAGCGAAGAGCTATTAAGAAAGTGGAGAAAGCCTGGGTCAAGCACTATTCCCAGATAAATAATACATGATATTGTGTCCTTGGATCCAGGGTGATTCTTAGTGCTTGCTTGTATCTAAATCTCTTGAAGAAAAAGTCTTTCACTGGACCTACACCTCGTTTCGTTATCGCATGCCTAACTGAGGGCAGGAGTGATTAATTTTGCTCTATTATATTGTTCTGTTGAAAGGAACCTAGGCCCAAAAGCTAAACTTAATTTTTGATTAGACATTTCTTCAAGGCATCATGAAACCAGTAAACATGCCCAGTGGTGTAAACTGTAAAATGTAGACAGAGCAATTCCTTCCTTGAACATCACTTTACTACCAGTGTTGAGAACAATGAAGTTTACCAATGATGTATCTGCTTGTCTCAGCTCAATGTTGTGATACTACTAAACTCTCTCTCTTAAGTCTCTTCTTGAGAGAATGAGTAAACCCGGAGCATGTGTTTTATGAGGTTTTCTAGTGAGGCAGACAAGTATATGTTTGTCGGGGCACAATCTCGTTTCAACTCACCAGGTCACTAAAAACAATTATTGCTAGTCCTGCTATTGATGGATAGGGAAACGGAGGCTCAGCTCAGTAAAGTGATTTGTCTCAAGAGTGCCCTGCTTCGTGGAGGCAAAGCCAGGGCTAAAACTCCATGTCTGTCTGACGCTGTTGGCATCCTCATGGATGGGAACCTCAGACTCTTTCCTGGAAGATGTCTAACACACTTCACCAAGGAAAATGCTAGAACAGGAGGGAAGTGTTAAAGGCCAGGGGATCATTTCCACTATCGGACAACCAAAATGCTAAAGAAAACGCTGTCCTGGAATACCAACTCTTCCAGCTCTTTCTCGGGAAAGAGTACAATCTCCTGATGTGACAAAAATTGAACAGTGGTTGAAGTTAAAAGACTGATCAAGTCAGCAATGCAGGAAATGTCAGTGTCATTCAAACATAAAAATGTGACCTAAAGAGCCACCAAGTAATTGCTGCTGAACCTCCTCAGTGTGGAGGCTGACCGAATTAGACCTGTCTGAAATAGAAAAGGCAGAATTTCAAATTCATCAACCCGGGGATCCACCCAGAGCCCAAGACAAAAGGGCACAGGGAAGGGGTGGCTCTTGTGGTCCAGCTGCTTCATAGTCCCTTGGCCTCCTGAGTGGTACAGACCCAGCTGGCCTGGCTGCCAGTCACTAAATCCAGGTGTGGCCTGTGGCAGGGGTCCCAGGAGTGTGGTACTCACAGCTGGCACTCGTCCCCCTTGACGCCCTTGGTGGTGCAGAAGCACTTGCCCGTGTTGGTGTTACAGAGCGATGCATGCCCATTGCACTTGCATGCTGGGGAGAAGAAAAAGGAATGGAAGTCACAACCGGCTTGAAAGATTACCACTATCAGAGACTCTTCCTAAAACACATAATTTTATCTGAATCGGATTCAATAGGAAGGACAGATTAGAATGAAAGCATTTAATGGGTAAGATTCAAGTTTTCCAGCTAATGATTTATCTCAAATAATGTAAAGGCAACATTAAAAGAACCAAAGTCCAAGGACAGGAGGAAAGAGAAGGCTGGCTTCTACTGCCACCTGAAGCAACCATTTTGATCTATTTTGATCTTCTCAATAGGCTGTTTTTCACTATTATGACTCTTTCATTCATTCAGTAAATATTTATGAAGCATCTCTAGTGTGCCAGGCGCTGGGCATGGGGGCACAGACAGAGTCCCCGCCCCCAAGGAGATGCTCTGAGCAATAACCACTCCTGAGGGCGAGGCTTGGTCTGGCTGCACTAAGCCTCAGATGAGGGGCCTGCCCCACAAAGGCCACGTCTCAAATCCTAGCAGGGCTCAGAAGTGAGGTGAAATCACAGTAGCTGGTCAGTGTTTCAGAGGCCCCGCAGGACTTGCAGAAATGGGCACCCATGTCTCGGGGGCCTCGGGCATGGGGTCCTGTGCATAGTCCCCACCCAGTAATGCCAGGCACTGTGATTACTGTCAAACGGATGAAGTCCAGTCACAAGGAGTGGGAAAAATATTTTTACTAAAGACCTTTTAATCTGAGCAGGAAACGTTCTTTAAGAGTGGCAGGCAATGGCCGTAGATTACTAATAACTCCCCACATTTCCTGAGTGCTCACTATGTGTTGCACACTGCTCTGACCACTTCCGTCTCAACCACCACCCTTTTATCCCCATTTTATGGATGAGGAAATTGAACCCCAGAGAGGTTAAGGGACATACTGATAAAATGCCAGCTCTCTCCTGGTTGCTCTGGGATCAAATTCTCAAGGGCCAGGCTAAGGAATTTGGAGGTGGGATTTCGGGAGGAGGTAGAGATTTTCCTTTCTTATTTATTTTCCTGCTCAGAACCCGAAGGGTCTTCCCATTGGAAATAAGAACAAGCCAAAAAGCAGTTTGCCAGCCTCCCTGGTCATTTAAAAAATGTATTAATTTATGTTCTAACACTAAAAAGTCCTTGCTTACAGGAATCTATTTGCCATGCATGGGAAAACAGAAGACTATTTAAATCTTTAAAATATACTAGAAGTGGGGTGCCTGGGTGGTTCAGT